TTTTTGATATCTTATTGGTACCAGGTGGGCAACTCCTGAAGAAAAATATAGAAGCATAGTGGTTACTTTTTGTGTGCAATGCATCTAACACTTCTTATCCTGTTTCTTTATCTGAGAACAAAGGAAAGGACACATACACACACACACACATACACACACACACACTCCAACTTACATACACTAAAAAGATAAATACTTAGAAAATAATTTTATTGAGGGAACTGACATAAGCTTTAAAGTAGTGAGAAAATAAAAGCAATTATGTGTGAAAAAAAGAATTCCAATAAAGTTTTCATGATACCAAGCTTTCCTTCCCATGGTAGCCACTGTTTAATAAGCACAAAATGCAATGAAAGGGCCTAACTCTATATTCTGCTGCCTCATAATTGTACCTAAAGAGCAAATACACATTTGTCTTTTATAACTCTGCAGGTAGTATATAGAGGAGGATATGCTGTTACTTTATCATAGTAAATAATAAAGTTCATGACTATATTTACACAGGCTGAGTTTCCAGCATGATAAATCATGTGAAGAATGTTAAATCTCTAATATGTGTTTAATGTACATTTCAGTTTATTTTTCTCCTAACTATAATAGTAGCAATTATTTTATATATTATATATAGGAGGGGAAGGCTGTGTTACCTAAGGGCAGAGCTAATAGATTTCTTGGCAATTTTTCTAGCATGTTAAAATCTCTTCCATTTCTAACTGCTGTTTTCTTTCTACCACTCTGACTTACACTTTTTTAAAAATGTATCATCCTAAATACCTACTTACTTTTTTTCTACCTTTGAGCCCTGTTTCTTCCATTTTTCTCTATCTAAAATGCCTGCTCCTGGGTTAGTCAAATCATATCTCTCTTTCTGCAGAAACTGGCTGGCCAATGTAAAGGAACTAATTTGTAGTGAGCCCTTCTCCTAAATATCAGCTGCTTTCAGAGATACACCTTCATTCAATCGCCGTTCAACACTATGGTGTTAGATAAAATTCTCACATTTTCTATAAGATGAAACTGAGTATTAGGGAGTTTATGTAAATTTCCTCTAGGATACACGCTTGTAAGCTGGAATTCAGATCCTAAACTTTTAATTGGAAGTGGTAGCTGTCCTCATTACAATTCCATTGCTTCTCCTACACATTCTAGACCTCCAGCCAACCTAGAATTGCTTTGAATTGTTCCTGACTTGCTACTGGTTGAATGAAATTTACAATAGATGAGTACCAATAGTATCAAGGCTTTCATGTGGTAGATAGGGTTGGAATGTAGAGAAAACAAGGCTAGGAGTAGCTGTTAACTACTTAGTTTTAGTTTCTTGATTGAAAGCTCCTGCTCCACACCTAATATTTATACATCTGACAAATACTTATGGAGTGTTTATTGTGCGCCTGGCACTAAACTAGACCCTGGATATAGAGTGCCAAGCAAAATGATGTGACCTCATTAGGTGTACAGCCTCATGGGGGAGAGAGATAATAAACACATACACCAATAACTACATGAATTATTCAAACTCTCATAAATGCCAACAAGAACAAAATAATGGAGGTTCTGTTTCAGGAAAAGTAGCCAGAAGTGGCCTCTTAGGGAGAGTAGAAGAAACAAACAATAGTTTGGGAGCTGCAGAACTCTCTCAGAGAACTGAGTCTCAACTTCGGCCACACCAGGTGTCTATTAACAAGTGGGATTTGGGTGGCTCACCTCTGCCCACTGTGGGTCCAAACCAACCAGGCTTCCTAATCCGTTGTAAACATCTGATACTCAGATTCTCATCATTTAGTTTTATAATGATTAAGAGGAAAAGAAGGAAGGAAAAGTGAAAGAGGTTGGAAGATTATTACTCTTTCAAAGGCTGCAAAACAACTTGTTTGAGAATGTTATTTCCACTTGGCCAGAGTGGCTCTGGCCAAGCGTCAGCCTATGAACCAGGAGGTCATGGATCGATTCCCTGTCAGGGCACAAGCCTGGGGTTGTGGGCTCAACCCTTAGTAGGAAGTGTGCAGGAGGCAGCCGATCAGTGTTTTTCCCTCATTGATGTTTCTATCCGTCCCTCTCCCTTCCTCTCTGAAATCAATAAAAATATGTATTTTTTAAAAAGAATGTCATTCCCTAATTTTATGCAGTGTGAATTTTCTTAATCATCAGAAATAGATGGAAACACAATTTATTCAAAATTCCTTTAACTGATATTTAAGCCACCTACTGTTTATTAGGTCCTGTGGTAAGGACTAGAGTTGTAATAGTGAATAAGATAGAAACGCTACGCCCAAGTTTACAGTCTTTGGTGAAGGTCAGGTACAGTGTAGTCGTGTGATGATAATTAGAACAAGATGAAGCCCAGAACATCAGATTCTGGAGAAGATCATGCCTATCTAAGACCCCAAAATGTATGTGTACAAGCAGGTCAATAGAATTTTCACATTCTCCAAGAGCAAATAATTCCTTTCCATAGTTGAGAGTATTTTGAAAATGTAATTCTTAATGTTTATCTAAATTCTAGTTTTGTTCATTTTTTTTGACTAGCGCTTTAATTTTTATATAAGAATTTTTTAAAAAATCACCTAATTTAAAATAAAAAACACGTGATTTTCCTCTTAATACACTTTGAAGTGTGGATTACAGGATAAATAGAGTTATTAACAATTAGTGTTTTGTAGTTCAGGTTTCTACCTGAGAGTTTAAATTCATCATGTTTACATATAAACTTTGATATTAAATTTGTTTCATTTTAGGAAGTAGCCATTAATGCTAGAAAACTCAAATATAGCATTTTTTATAAACTTAGTTTTTCATGCATTTTGTAGGTTTATTATAGCTGGTCTGACTTAATATCTAGACAGATCAAACTATGCCCTTGGGATAAGGGGTGTTTTTGGATAATTTCCTTCTTCTTTCCTTACTGTACTTTCTTTATCTGTTTCCAACTCTCAGAATTGATAAATAGATAACTGTTGCTTCTCATGCTTCCTTTGTCTGACAGAAAGATAGATTTTAAGCATAAAGGTCTAATTCTCAGTAATTTATAAAATTAAGTATAATTAATAAGTTTTTCAAGTCTACTTTTAAAATTACAATTCCTCTTACTCCTCATAGTCTTTCTGTTCAGATAAACCACAGAAGTTAGGGAACTTCAATTTTTAAACATTAATTGGATTTATTGATGATTAAAGTCTATATTTTTATAATAACAATATAATAATGATAGAGCACCCAGCTCAGTAGTGGGTCTAGAAGAAGTAAATACATATTAAATAAAATTAAAGTATTTGGGATTAAATGGAATCTTTTCTCAACATAGATCAAATTTTAAATGTAAAGCACTTAAAATGTTTGTGAGGATGCTTATTCAGTCATAAGGGAACTGTTTTTTAGTCTAAATTTAGGTTTACAGCCCATTAATGGAGCCACTGGCCTTGCAGACCCAGCCAAAGCCCTTTTCAGTGTCCTAAGTGAATTAGCTATGAGATTTATTAATGGCTCCAGAGGCACCATTAAGAATTCCTTCTTTCACCTCTAGCCAGGCTCAGTGTGGAGGACAAATATATTTCCTAAACTTCACAATAGTGTTGGACCTATTCAGTTCCCACTGGGGAAACAGCTGTGCCAACCTAGAAGTGAAAAGAACTTAAAAAAAAATCCTCTACAGTGTAACTCCATTTGGGATGGTGCTGATAGTAAGTAACTTCACCCTCACGTGACCCAAACAGTTCTAGAGATTAGGTAACTGCATGGGATTCTGAAGACACCATTTAACTGTTCTGGATCTGTGCTGTCTTCCAAATCACAGCAGAAATGAGGATGAGAACAATAGCAGTATGCATTCTGTCCACAAGTGATTGTTAAGGAACCCACAACACCTCAGCCTGATTCCAGTTGGATAATTACATTTATTTTGTCCTCGTTTTTCAAATCCTGTTGTTTTAGTTAAATATGGAAATTGATCCTTCATTTTTCACCCAGAAAAATGGACAGAATTGCTGCACATGTTACTATTTAGATCCTACTATCTTCCTCTTTACCAAAGGGGATGGTGTTTAAAAAGACTGTTTAGAATTGCTTATTGTGGCTATCAATATTGTTATAGTTTCCTGATTCAGAAATGTTCGGTGAACATCCAGCACATGATTGGCTTGTGAATGAGTTGTGGAATACAGAGTGATATCTCAAGAAAGCCATTTTTTTCTATCTCCCTACTGCCTGCTTAGCTTAGCCCCTTACCTTAAAGCAGCGGTTCTCAACCTGTGGGTCGCGACCCCTTTGGCGGTCGAATGACCCTTTTACAGGGGTCGCCTAAGACCATCCTGCATATCAGATATTTACATTATGATTCATAATAGTAGCAACATTACAGTTATGAAGTAGCAATGAAAATAATCTTATGGTTGGGTCACAACATGAGGAACCGTATTTAAAGGGCCAGAAGGTTGAGAACCACTGCCTTAAAGGGACAGACATTCCCTCTTTTTCTCATACAACTAGGACAGTACTAGTAGCTTCCATTTAGCAATGCTTGCTTTCGAGCAGGCACTGCGCTAGATCTTTTAAACGACTGTAACATAATACACACAAACAATCCTATAGGGTAGATATCATTTTACAGACAGAGAAAATGTAACTTGTTCAAGATCACACAATTGAAGAGACGGGGTAGGGGGGGGGATGGGGGGCTGGAATTTGATCCCAGGTTTGCCTGACACCAAAAGCTAATCACTTAACCACCACCCTGCCTCACAGAACTGTTGCTGTCCAGAACTCTGTGAGACCCAGATCTGTGGATCATTGATCCCATGAACAGCCTCTCTCAGTGCTTGGTTCCACTCCACACAGGCTGACCCACTGGCTGAACCTCAGAACCATCATGTGGCACTAGCATCAGAAGGGGCAAATAACAATTATGGTTCCAGGCCACAAGGAAACTGAGCTGTTGAGAGAAACTCTATGCTGCATCACTTTATCTGCACAACTGAAATGGTACCCTTACCACCACCATTACCTACCTTTAGTTGTTAGTGATTCTCTCAGCACTTGTCTACATTCTTATCCTCCTTTTCTTTCCCTGGTGGTGGGGTTATAATAGTGTCTTTGGCAAGGTTAGCAAGAAACTTACTTATTTACTTTGGTTGCCAATAAATAACTAGCTTGTTAATAATTGTGCATATGTTTTATGTGGCCTTAGATAATCTGAGATAATTTTACAAATCTGGCATTAGAGATTGGATCAATATCCCTTCATACCTGGTCTCCTATTACATAATTCTCTATTAACAAAAAGTAGGTTATATAAGGAAAAAATTACAATTTAAAGTAATTTACTAGCGGCATTTTATAAGTGATACACACTCATGTACTCATAACTTTTTTTTTAAGCCTCATGCAAGGATATTTTTCCACTGATTTTTAGAGAGAGTGAAAGGGAGGGGGAGAGACAGAGAAACATTGATGTGACAGAGACATATTGATTGGTTGCCTCCTGCATGTGCCCCAACCAGGGCCAAGGATCATGCCTGCAATCAAGGTATGTGCCTTTGACCCAAATGAAACCCAGGACTCTTCAGTTCGTGGGTCATTGCTTTATCCATTGAACCAAACTGTCTAGGATAACTTTTTAATTACTTAAATATCAGTTTTTGCTTAATAATATAAAATAATAAATCTGATAGTTTTCTTGCTTTAAAGTATACCAGATCTATCACAAATGCCTTAAACTGTAGCATGTTTACATCTTTATGTAAGCTGTATGTAAATTTTTTTGTTTTGTTTTTCCAGGTTGTTGGGGTTTTTTCTTTGTGTTTTTTTTTTTGGCTATTTTTAGAGCAATTTGGGTTTACAGTAAAAATAATAGGAAAGTATATTAACATTTTTAGCACTTTTAAATTGTTAGCTCTATGAAAGTAAGATGTATTCCAGTTTATCTTTTAGCATATCATAGCACCAAGCACAGCACTTTGCATGTAATAGACACTCATTACATATCATTTACTTAGTGAATAAATTAGTGTGTACTAGGTTGAACAGATTTGCAATCCTAAATTGTTCTTGTCATCATTTCACTCTACATAATTAAAGACGCTTTACTAAAATGATTAAAATGTGCTATTGAATTACTGGAATAGGTTCTAAAGCAGTGGGATGAAAGAAACTGTGGCTGTACCCCTGTGTGGAAACAGGAGGATGAGTTTCTCACTGTGGGGTATACTTGGTGGATTTTATGTATAACTCAAGTAATTGACTTCCCTTAGGAAGGTTAGATTTATGATTTCCATATGGCACTTTATAACTTTTCTTTCACTGCTATCTGCCAACTAAAAATTTTCCCTATTATAAAATAACTAGAGGCCCGGTGCATGAATTCCTGCACCAGTGGGGTCCCTTGGCCTGGCCTGCAGGATCGAGCCGATACTGGCTCTTTGACATCCCCTGAGGGATCCCAGATTGCGAGAGGGTGCAGGCCAGGCCAAGGGACCCCACCGGTGCACTATCAGGGCCAGGGAGGGATGCGGGAGGTTGGCCAGCTGGGGAGGGACCACAGGAGGGCTCCAGAGGATGTCCAGCCTGATTCGCTCAGTCCCAATCAGCTGGACCCCCGCAGCAAGCTAACCTACTGGTTGGAGCATCTGCCCTCTGGTGGTCAGTGCACATCATAGCGACTGGTCAGCCAGTTGACTGTCTGCCCCTTGGTGGTTAGTGCACTTCATAGCAAGTGGTTGAGCAGCCTTAGCATATCATTAGCATATTATGCTTTGATTGGTTGAATGGACAACCAGACGACTGGACACTTGGCATATTAGGCTTTTATTATATAGGGCTAGAGGCCCAGTGCACGAAGTTCGTGCACGGGTGGGGTCCCTAGGTCTGGCTGGCGATCAGGGCTGATCAGGGCCTTCCAGTTGCTGGCCGGGGCCTTCCTTCCTGCTGGCTGCCGACTGCTGGCCAGGGCCTGCCAGACAGGGGGAGGGACCAAGGGAGGTTGGCTGGCCATAGGAGGTTGGCTGTGGGAGCGCACTGACTACCAGAGGGCAGCTCCTGCATTGACCATCTGCCTCCTGGTGGTCAGTGCATGCAAGCTACCAGTTGTTCCAGTCATTTCAGTTGTTTTGGTCATTCCGGTGTTCGGTCACTTAGGCTTTTATATATATAGACTAGAGGCCTGGTGCACGGGTAGGGTCCCTAGGCCTGGCCGGCAATCAGGACCGATCTGTGGGGCGACCAGCGGGGTGATCAGGGCCCCTGCTTGCAGCTGCCTTGGTTGGCTTGGTGCCACCCACTCACCAGCCCCATTCCCCACCGCCACCACCAGTTGCATCTCTCTGTGGGCAACCTGCGGGGCAGTCGGGGGGGTCCTGCTGGCACTCACCTTGGCTGGTGGCCTAGCATTGCCCGCTTGCCAGCCCTGACCCTCATCGCCGCCACCGTTCACCTTCCTCTGAGGGGTGACTGGCAGAATGATTGGGGACCCCCTGCTGGCACCCACCTTGGCTGGTGGCAACCTGGCTCTGCCTGCCTGCCAGCCCCGCCCCCAGCGGCTGGTCAGGGCCTGCAGGCTGGGGGCAGTTCCTGCATTGAGCGTCTGCCCCTGGTGGTTAGAGTGTGCGTCATAGCAACCGGTCGTTCCGCCAGTCATTCCGCCGTTTGGTCGATTTGCATATTAGGGTTTTATTATATAGGATGTTTTTGTACACATTACCTATATATAAAAATAAATAGAAACATTAAAATCAGTCATCACCCTATTATCCAGATATAATTACTCAACATTTTTGTATGCTCTATTTTTCATCTTCTAAGCCATTTCATCATGTCCATGCAAATGCTACTCTATATGTTTATATAACATTATAGTACCACCAGTTACCCTGTGGATTATTACAAAATATTTCTTTACATTGATATGTTATGTTTTCTTATGTTATTTTTCTACTATTGGACATTTAGGTTGCTTTTAGTTTTTCTCTATCATAAAAATTACCATTTTAACATAAATCTTTTTGTTTTCAGTTATGTAAGATAGATTTCTAGAGCTAATTAATGACTACAGATTTTGAACTTTAAGTTCTTGACACATACTACCCAGTAGTTTTCCGGAAACATTTTGGCAATTCACACACTCATCAGAAGTGTATAAAAAGGGTGTTCTATTGAACCATCATCAACATTGATTATTACCTTTATATACTCTTAAGCAAGTATTAGACCTACTGATTTTAATATTACTGTCATTCACTATGCTGAAAAAAAGTATATAAATTAAACACTTCAGTTTGCTTTCAGAAAGAATTATGAAATATTTTTAAGGGTCATAGTAGTGTGGAGGCTGCATGTTACATTACAGTTTCCAAGTACATGCAGATGTGTTTCAGGTCTAATTGTAAATTCTGCGTATTTTTGTCTAAGCTGGACTTATGTTTTCTGTATTGACACTCACTTCATTGTCAGTTTTCCAAAAGTGTTTGGTGTGGTTTTAACATTCCCTCTCATAACAAGCAATGTCATATCTATTTGCTGTTGTAACTGAAGTTAATGAACATTCCAAATTTACTTTATTTATTTATGCATTTTTTTGTGGACTGCTCTACAAAAGCAACTTTCTTCCTCACCAATATACTAAACTGAGTACAGATGAATCTGAGTGGTTTCATTTTAGAGATTAGTAGTCATATGTGTATTAGGAAGGCAATAGTCTTGGAAGAATACCAAAAAAAAAAAATCATTTTAAAGTGTTTGCCTCGTTCTCTAGTGAAAGCATTTTCGTTTCAGAGGCCATGGTGAGTCTTAGTCCCTTGCTGGTGCTTGTCTTGATAACACTGTGAGGGACTCTATGAGTGTATATATTCACACACATGAATTTAAGGTGATTTGAAATATCCTCTAGGGAAGATATAGGTATAAAATAACTCACCTCTTTAAACGCTGCAGTATTTCCTACTTCTCTGCAGAAATTGTCTCAGCATAAAACTGATTCTATTTAGAAAATGAATTTTTACTTATATATTTGTTTTGCATTTCAGGTACCTGATAAATCTCATCTGTCTGTGTCCCATAGCTGCACAGGTATGTATATGAATTATCTATAGTTACATAAATCTATGTGTTAACTGACATGTTGTTATATTTTTGTGTATTAAAATTGTTTATAGATTTCATAATGTGAAAATGTTAATTTTTGAGTCCTTGTAAATATTGACAGCTTCAAAGGATAGTACATTTTATATACACCTTGCACTTTATTGTAAGAAGCAAAGAAACATTTCTAAGATTTGATGAGGCAGAATAATTTTAATTACAAAACATTCAGCTGGTGAAGCATTAGAGAATGTTTTATGGAACTGTACTATTAAAGCCAAATTATGGGGTCAAATTATTGCAGAACCACCGTTTTTGACATTATTGCTTTATTTTCAAACTTTTTTCTGCTTTAGAGTTTATATTCTGTGGTCATTGCTGTAGGTAAGGAATGGCTGCAGATGTACTGTCTGCTGCACTGTCTCAAGCAGAAGGGAAACGGAAAAAGATGTTTGCACCTGTTTAAAATCTCAGCTGTACGGTGTTGTGGTTCCCGGGCAACAGGCAGGAATTTTCAGAAGCTAGGTTGCACCTGCTCAGTTGTGGATTGCAGCTGTGTCTTATGAGTGAGCGCACAGAGAAGCATGTCAGCAGTTTGCTTGTGCTGTTACGTATTTTGTATACTCTGAGTTCGAAAGATTCTTACTTGATGTAGACCTTGAACTATTATATTGATTACTTGTAAAACTCACTGATTTTAGCTCCCAAATATTTTCTCCCAAATCTGTCATTCTGAGTCTCAAATATTTTTTTAGTTAACTGTCCTAGATTATATGTATGTTAACTTCTTTAAAGGATACCTGTGGAAAGGAGATCTCTCCAGATAAGTGGGTTGCTAATAATTTTTGTCCTGATAGACACATTTTGTGTTTGGCTCAATTTCACCATGTTGGCAACCCCACTATGTGAGGCTGGATGTAGTTATTGATCCATTTAACTGAACAGATTTGAAAGCATTTGGCCATTAGTGGACACATGGGGCGTATTCAGAAAATTTAAGGGTATAT